ACAGCCTTCAACTTCCCACAGAATTACTTCAGCAATCCATTTCCATGGTCGTACTCTGGACTGTATTCCTGTTTCTTTACTTGTTCAACAAATATTTTTTGAATGCCTAACATATATAAATAGGCACTGTTCTGGCCCTCAGGGGACATGGGTGAAAAGACAAATGAGATTCCTACTCTTGTGATTTACATAAAAGTCAGGAGAAACCAACAATAAATAAGGAAAACTGGAAAACAGCAGATACTCATAAATGTCATACACCGAATTAAACAGGATCATGTAAGCAATAGAAAGTGACTGACTGGTGATGGCCACATTGGGTGGTTAGGGTGGACTTGTAGGATGAGTTATTATTTAAGCTGAGACCCCAATGACCAGAAGGAATCAGCTATGTGATGATTAGGGTAAAAATATTGTAGTCTGAGGGTCCGATTGCTGCAAAAGTCGTAAGACCGAAATGAGGACCAGGAAGGCCAGTGGACTGACATGGTGGACAAGGAGGAAAGTTGTATGTGATGAGGTCAGAGAGGGATGCAGGGCTGTGCAGGCCAGAGTAACAAGCTGAGATTTCATTGCAAATGCAGTGGGAAGCCATTAGAGGGTTGTAAGTAGAAGAGTGGCATGATCTGATTTATAGCTTTGAAAGGTTATTTTGACTACTGTGCAGAGAACGAATTGTGAGGGGCCACAGTAGAAGCACAGCATCCAGTTAAATAGTACTGGGGAGGCATGCAAGGTCAAGGTGGCTTGGACAAAAGTGGTAGTAAGAGACATGGAAAGATGGATATGTTTGGGATATGTTTTGGAAGTAAAATTAACAAATCCTGCTGAGTTTGTATTTTAGGAAACAAAGTAGATAGTGGTTCAATTTACTGAGATTGACAGGAATGGGGTGAACAGGTTGAGGATGACAGTGAAACAAAAGTTTTGTTTTAGGCATGGAAAGTTTGGGACACGGAGATGGAAATGTGAAGTAAGCAGTGTGAACCTGGAGTTCCCAGGGAAGGCAGACACAGCTACCATGTCTGTGCAGGTTTTACCCTGCACTCTGGAGCCGAGCAGGACAGTGTGTGTGGAGCCTAAAGAGCATCACTAGCATCGATTTGGGAACCACTGACCTATTGATGGTACTAAAGTCACAGGAATGAATGAGGCTCCAGCAAACTCAGAGTGATCATTCTTAACTTTTATTCAACATGAAGCAATGACGCTATATTTTCAAAATTCATATTTAATTCCTTATCAAGGGCCAGTTCAAACAATTTATTCTGAGGCGCTAGTTCAATTTAAATTAACTTTCATGAAAGAATTGGATTTCAGATCAGCTGATTTCTTTGTATAGAGCTTCTCTTGATGGACAATACAATTCAAGACATTTTATCAAATTTGTAAAGTATTCAGTGCTGATGTTTTGCAGACATGCAATATGATCACCTACTTCATTAATAATTGTTGATATCAATCTCCTATGTTCTCTTCAAATACTTTTATGATTTTTATGGCTGTTGATTAGTTCTCTTTTTACATTTAAACCTTTTATCCATCTGGAATTTATTTTAGTGTCAAGTGGGAAGAAAGAATCTAAATTTATTTTGTTTCAAATCTTAGCCAGCTATCTCAAAACACTTACCATATAAACCTAAGCTTTTTTCCTATTGATCTGAAATGCCATATGCTAAATTCCCAAGAGGATCCTCAGATCTATTTCTGGAATCCCTATTCTGCGCCCAGTGATTTTATTTGCGATCCAGGTCATTTTGTACATCAAATTCAAATTGTATATAGATTAAAAGACTTTCCATGTTACAATATCTGTGCATTTATCAAGTTGCAATGAAAAAATACTTTGCTATTCCATATTATAAGCCAATTCCTATATCTATTGAGCCATGTGCATTGAAAAGTTATATTTTAGCTATCTTCTCATATTCTGTCAACATTTCCAGGCAAATTTAGAAAATGTATATTGTATAGATGTATTATAAACCTAAAAGATTTATTAAAAATATTTTAAAATAAAATATTTATTATAATACACTATTAAGGTTTATCTAGAACAGGGGTTGGCAAACTTTTGAGACAGAAGAGCGTATCCAGTCCCTCACAACAATTTAAAAATTTTTCGAGAGCCATAAAACAAATGAAATCACCATTATGTGAATAATATCCCTTAAAATTTATAAATGAAACTATGATAGTTTTATTTTCAGTTTCAGTTTCACTTCAGAGCCACATGTACGTACCCAAAGAGCTGCATGTGGCCACGAGCCACAGTTTGCCAACCCTTGATCTAGAAGAAAAAAATACATGAAAATAGCCAATTTTATAAAACAATTATGGAAAGAGGACTTTTCATTGCCAGATATAAAACATGATGATAATGTGAAGAAACACAAGGAGATTTATAATGTATAAATCTATGAAGAATTAGATTGCCTACATATGTGGTTTGGAATTTAAGTTTTGTCAGTTCCGATGATAACAGCTGCAATGAGAGGAGATATTCTAGAGTAGTTATCAAGACTAATGAGCTTGCACCAGAATAGAAATTGACACATTGCTTCCTTCCAACTTCAAAAACGTCAACTGAGCTAAAGAGTAACATCAAATAGTAAAAATTTTGGATTATGTAAAGGCAATGTGTTAAATACAAGCTTATTCTATTGTGATAATAGAGAAGCTGATATGTCCCTGTTGTTGCATGCTGAACTGCTGTGGTGATCAAGGGGCAGGTTCTGCTGAGAACGTCTGAATTCTTAGTCTCCCTTCAAAGAGTTAAAAAACCTTTGGTCTAAACTCTGAAGAATTCTCAACCCTTTGAAGATGTGAATTGGAAAACCTGACTTGCTTATTGAGCTGATATTTTTGGTATTTTTAATGATCATAATTCCTGTAAGAAAGAAATGCAACTGGCTTTTTAATGGTAGATAATATCAAAAGCCACCTAGATGTCCCACTAGCACCTTAAATTCAACATATCTACAATCGAATTCACTACTTTTTTCTCAAACCTGTCCTTCCTCCTTTTCTTTTCTTGATAATTGACCACCATTCCCCTAATACCTAAGCCAGACACCTGGACATCAGCGTTCGCCTGTCCCTTGCCTTACATCTATATCCAATTGCCATCCAAGTTATGTTGATTTTGATTACTTATCACAGCAGTTCTCAACCTTCCTAATGCTGCGACCCCTTAATACAGTTCCTCATGTTGTGGTGACCCCCAACCATAAAATTATTTTCGTTGCTACTCTATAACTGTAATTTTGCTACTGTTATGAATCGTCATGTAAATATCTTTTTGTTTTCTGATGGTCTTAGGCGACCCCTGTGGAAGGGCCGTGCGACCCCCAAAGGGGTCGCAACCCACAGTTGAGAGCCGCTGGCTTATCATCTCTCACATATACTCTTCCTAATGGCCCTGATTGCTTGTACCTTGTGTTAGGCCCTGATCCTCTTACCTTGGACTTCTTTCTCTCCACTAAGCCATCCATTCATCAGCTGGTCACCAGAATATTCTTTTTGAATGTAAATTTCATGTTAATTTTTTTATTAAAAGCCTTTTGTGGGTTCTCCTTTACCCATAGGAAAAATTCTAGTCTTCAGAGTGGCACCCAAAGCTTATCTGTAGCTTCAGATCTCTACACCCTCCTAACATGCCTCATTCCAACCACACCTGACTGTTCGGGGTGCTTGGAACCCTGTTTTGCTTCATGCCCTTATGCCTTCACTCCTGCCATTTTTTGGGAAGACCTAATTATCTTTCAAGGTTTAGTTTAAACTTTATCACCTTTGGGTAGTGTTTCATATCTTCACCCACCCACAGAATTGATTATTCTTCCTTTGTATTTCTATCGTGGGCCCCTTTACGTTTTACTGCAGCACCCACAAAACTGTATTATACCTGTTTGTTCACTTGCTTCCCTGATAGACTGGAAGCTCCTTAAGGCAATAGTGTTAACACTCATCCAAATGAAGACACAGGGCAATACAGTGATGAGAGTGAAGGAAAGGATGATTTACTACGGGACTTGGCTCTGTATGGTGATTGAAGATGAAAGGCATGGTGGGATTAACTGGCTTTAAGCTTCTGACTAGAATCCTGGTAGAAGGTTATTCTAGTGCTGAAGAAAGTACAGGTGGTATTTGAGGACAAATGAAGTTTGCTGGATATCCAGTTTGCAAATATCAGCACACACATACCAGATTTTTATAGCAACACTGCATTTATCTAGTGCTTTGCAGTATACAAAATTCTTTACATCTATTATTTGACCCTTAGAATAGTTATCTTTCTAAGCTTCAGTTTCCTTTTTTTTTTTTTTGTAAAATTAAGATAAGAGCTATCTCTTAGGATTGTTTGTGAGATGTATTATGTGTCTGGCACACAAATGAGTACCAAATATGTTGTTAGGTCAGAAATTTGAGTCCCATAATGGTTAAATGACTTGCTCAAAGTCACAAAAGTAACTTAGTGGCAGACTTGGATATAAACTCTGGATCTTATTGTCCTACTATTGTAGTATTCTTTTTATTACACTACAGTATAATGAGATATCTTCTATTTACTTGGTACATAGCATCTAATTTTCTTGAGAGGCTTACCTAAAAGCAGGCTTTGGAATTACTCCATCAGAGAGCTGATTGCCAAAATCAAACCAAATCTGAAACTTGGCTAAAACCAAAATGCATATATAAACAATATTCTTATAGCTTGCATTGCTTCCTGGTCTTTCTATTTTACACTTGAGGGTTTTCAGCAGAGAATCTGAGCAGGCTAGCTCCTGCCTCTGTAAAGTTCTGTGGAGATGTGCTCTTATTTTAACTGATTTTCAAAATACAGTTTTTAAAGTTCAGTTTCATGCCAGAGCAAGTGTCGGTTTGGGGCACTGGAATGAAGGTAACAGGCATCTGAAGTATGAACTGGCACAGAAGGAGAATGAATTTGGGCTGAAACAGACACTGCCAATCACACCCATCTGTCCTCATGTTTTCCATAGAGTCCTGTCCAGGAAGAACCTGAAGCCACAAAATATGAGCTGGAGATGAAATTATTAAGTGAAACAGTTTTAGCAGGTATTCTTCTAACTTACATTTTTAGAATTTAACTTTATTGGCATTTTCTGCTTTCTAAAGAAATTCAAGGTCATTGTAAAAAAATGTATATGTTGCAGAAATATATTTAAAGTGAAAATTTCTCATTATCCCTCTTCTGAGATAACCAATGTTAACACATTTATTTGTGCTTGCTTCCTCTCTCTCTCTCTCTCTCTCTCTCTCTCTCTCTCTCTCTCTCTCTCTCTCTCTCTCTCTCTGCCTCTCTTTCTCTAATAAAACCATGGGATCATCTCATACAGATATTTTTGTTGAAAATTATTATTTTTCACTTAACAGAATTTGTTTATCTACATAACATATTCTACATACATACAAATGTAGACCACAATACATATTCTAGTTAAATGAATAATATTCAACATTATTCTAAGTCAGAACACATTGGTAGCCTGACTTTTTTTAGTAGCTGTATAATTCCATATAATAATGGAACATTATTTAAATCCTTAGTGATAGACAGTAAAGTTTTTTCTTATGTTTTATTATTACAGACAGTGTTGCAATGAAAATTTGCAAGCACACATATACAATCAGAGGTTTCTCAACACTTTTGCTTTCAATCTTATCCTGGGAAATAGCAATTGGATTTGGTTTTAACATGTCATAATGGTAGAGATGTCTAACTTGCAAATCTTTTAGTTTGAGATTTATGTATATGCTTTCCATTAACTTTTATCATTATACTGCTTTACCAGTAACTTCTAAGGAATCTATTTTCTATATAGCATATTTTTCATAACAGGCTTCTTGTCTACTTCATTACTTTTTTCAACACACTTTCGTTTCTGTAGTCAACTAGGTTTATACCTTTATAATTTTATATAACCTTTACAAAGTAGTTTTTCTGTTAGAAATATTATACATGTCAAGTCCTGAACCTTTGTAAATAATATCAAGTTTTTCTACATGATGATCCCTGAATAATATATATATCATAAATGTCTAAATTTGAACACAGTATTCTTTCTTACTTTCTTTTCAGGTAAGTGGATTATTTAGTTACATTTGACAATTAATTAAAGTCTGCATTTTATTAACTACATAAGGAAAAAGGGAAATTGCTTAACTGGAATTTTCTTTGGATATTTTCATTAATTTTCAGTGCCTGATATCCACAGGCTAAAGTCAAAGCCATCTCACTGAGCTTCCTTTTATGAGAGAGGGAAATTGTAATGATAAATGATGAGGCTAATGGTTCCTGAGTTTTTACAATGTCTGGTATCAGTTCTGAGCTCTTTACATGCATGACTCACAGTTCCCCCAAATGCTGTAAGATAGATACTACTATTATATCCATTTTGTAGAGGGAGGAACTGAGAATAGAGATATTAATTAACATATCTTGTCATACAGCTAGTATAGGGTAGAACCTACAAGTGGTCTGATTTCTCTTTCCAACACATTACACTATATTGAAAGAATTTTCGTGAAAGGTGGGAATGGTCCCAGTAATACATGACTTCAGATGTTTTCCTGATTGTGCATTGAGAATTATGGGATCATAGAATTTCCCTATAAAATTTCTGAACACAAGAGATTACCCAATCCAGTTCCTTCACTTTCAAGTCTCTATCCCTGGTTTTCTATGAGCTGGGCCTATTTTTGTTGAAAAAAAATTAGCTTTAATTTTATACATGGACCTTTTTTTTTTTACCATTTTACTTTCTTCTTTCAGATATTTGGCCTCATCATGTCCAATTTTCAGAAACGAATTTGGCAGTTATGAAATTTTGTGTTAAAACATTTTTTTGATCTTTTAGAACGAAGGGTAGCAGAATATGCCTCCCCAAAATATGCCACTTTGGCATAAGGACTATTCTGAGCTGAAAGCAGTTGAAAAGATACAGATGCAAGACGGCTCCCTACCTTTCTCCTCTTTGCCTAAAAGCAGGATATACATTTTCAAAGGTGTCCCCCTTGGCCTGTCTACCAGGAAGGACAAAGGTTAATTCTCCAAGACTGCTTTGACCCTATCAGCCTGTGGAGGGCACTAGAGGAATCTACATAACAAACTCTTCTAACTAGCCTTTATCTTATCCCTCAGAAGCCTAAAACTGCTTTCTGTTGTCCTGTCATTTCTCTACAAATTTATTGTCCTTTGTTGAAGATGCTCTATAAGCTGGAGTTCTAAGCCACCTCTGTGAGTTACTCATTTTTTCCTGGGGATCTCCCATATGTACATGAGGCGTACATGTTAATAAACTTCTGTTTTTCTCTTGTTAATCTGTCTTTTATTACAGGGGTCTCAGCCAAGAACTCAGAAGGGTAGAGGGAAAGATAAAATATATCTTTTTAGTTTGTATTTTAATAACAACATATGCCTATTGTATACAAATTCCTAAAATACTAGTATATGAAATATAAATAAAGCCCTCCCTTGCATCCTACCATTACACATACCTGCTCTCACTCCAGAGGTTAGCTTTATGAATAGTTGGGGTTTTAAAAAATAATTTTACTGGGGATTATTGGGGAACAATGTGTTTCTCGAGGACCCATCAGCTCCAAGTCAAGTAATTGTTTCAATCTAGTTGTGGAGGGTGCACCTCAGTGGCCCATGTGGGAATCGAACTGGCAGCCTTGGTGTTATGAAAACTGCACCCTGCACAGTAACCACTTGAGCTAACCAGCCACTCCCCCCACCTTTTTTTTTTAATTTTATGAATAGTTTTGAATTAACCACTTTTTGAAAAAGTTTTAATACCTATAAATAAAATCTTTCTTTACTGGTACTAGAATTTGTTTTTTTCATTTCCCTCCTAAGAAAATACAAAGATGCTATGATCTATTAAATAACTGAATTAATCCGATTAATTTTAGCACAGTTGTTGCTGATAGAGAATGCCCCTGGAAAGCCACTTTTCTTTGAAGACAATGAGGTTGATATGCACCAATTCACAGCTCTGGGTGGCGTGTACCACTTGGATATTTTGCAGCTTCCCCCACAGTGCAAGCCAATGAAGAGGTGGATGATGATGGAAGTAGGTTGATTCTTCTTTTTTTTTAATTAAAGTTTATTGGGGTGACAATTGTTAGCAAAGTTACATGGATTTCATGTGTACAATTCTATAATACATCTTCTATATATCACATTGTGTGTTCCCCACCCAGAGTCAGTTCTTCTATCACCATATATTTGGCCCCATTTACCCTCATCTACCACCCCCTCCTCCCTTACCCTCTGGTAACCACTGAACTATTATTGTCTGTGTCTATGAGTTTTTCTTTCTTCATTTGTTTTTCTTGTTCTTTTTTATTCTTAAGTCAAAATAATTTCTCACATTTTTACTTTATGTCAAATGCTCTAACATCTAGTGAACTTTAACTCTATTAAGCAAGCACAAAAGGAAAAAAAATCTTGAATTTATAAAAAATTGTCTTGCTTTAATAAAATTTGAATCAGTACTAAAGGTAAGGAACCTGAAATAATATGGGCTTGAAAGCTAGAATTTAGGCAGGTCAACTTAATTGTAAACCTATAGCTCTATGTTTCGATTATGCCAATTTGGCCTTAATAATGATAGTCTATTTCAGGGGCTGGAAAAAATTTTCTGTAAGTGGCCAGATGATAAATATTTTCAACTTTGTGGACCATACCAGCTCTGTTGCAACTCCTTAACTCTGCTATTGTTACGCTAAAACAGCCACATGTAAATGAATGGGCATGGCTCTGTTCCCGTTAAACTTTATTTACAAAAACTAGTAGTGGACCAGCTTTTCCAGGAACCATAATTTGTGGACTCTGGTTTTGATTCGCGGTTCCTAATATGTGGTGCCTTGACCAGAAGCATCAGCACACCTGGTATCATCTGGGAATTTGCTACAAATGCCAACTCATGGGCCCCACCTCAGTCTTACTGAATCAGAAATTCTGGAGGTGTGAAGCTCAGATGTCTGTTTTAGGGAAACACGCTCTAAGGTTTGAGAACCAGTGGTCTGGACCCTTGATATACAAAGTGTGGGCCATGAGTCAGCAGTGCCAGCATCACCTGGAGCTTGTTACAAATGCATCAGCTGGGACTTCACCTCAGACCTAGACCCTTGTGTGAGTCACATGCACATTAAAGCTTGAGAAGCACTGTCCCAGGTGAGGCCAATGCTACTGATGCAGGGACCATGCTTTGACTAGTAAGGATGCTGATGATAGCAGTTGTTAGATCATCTCTCAAGGCGCTTCTCGTTTCTGTTTCCATAACTAGTAACATTTGCACTGTACTGACTTGGTTTAACTACCTCACGGTGGCTTGTGTCCCAAATATACCCAGTTATGTTGTCATAGCCCCTTCCTCCTCCCTTCATTGCTCTCCTGACCTTCTTTCCTCTCTCCCTATCCCCCTTCCCCTCTTCCCCTCTTTCTGTCTCTCTCTTTTCTCTAACACATCATGTACATAGATTGCAAGACACTTCTCACCCATTTTTGTATTAGAGCAGTATTTCAACTTTTATTTTTTTCCATTCTCATCACGCTGAGAAGCTTTTGTAAACATTTTTTCCTCTCCTTCCCCATGAGAATTTAATACTGCAGATATACTGTGTCCCTGTGTAAGTGCTGTACATACATCTGTGCTTTATACATACAAGAATACAAGTTTTTCTTTTATTCTCCCCCTCCCCGAACTAATTTTCACTCTATTGGGGATAATATTGCCAGTCCTTTCCCCTTCGCACCACAAATGAGAGTGCATTTACTAGAACAAGCCTGGGAGAGATAACCTGGTCTATAGTCACTTTGAAGAATCTATTTGAATCGACCTTTCCTACCTCGGTGATGCTTGAAGGACAGTGGTGAGTCCAAGAAAGGCATTCTTTCGGTGAAGGGAGGCCTTCAATACTCTTCATCTGTAGGAAGGTCCCAGCCTGAGCTGAGGTTTTCAAGGATTTGTCCAAAGACCTGTTGTTGAATTTTGTCAGAATGTCCTGATCCCACTGCTCCATGCTCTGCATTTGAGCCCAGAGTACCCTCCTACACGCCTATTTTTCTCCTCTGCGACAAAGGCCTTCCTCCTTTCTTTCAGTACCTTCTCTTCAATCTCTCCCCTCCTCTAGAATTTTTCCCCATCCAGTTTTTTCCTCTATTTTGTAACATTTTTAATCTTCCATCCTTCCCTAGATTCTTCTCTGTTGCATTCAGATAATGGATAAATCTCCCTTATCTCAGAGAAACCTGCTGTTGGTTTAATTTACATTCTCTTTTTCTCCCAGCATTATTGAGATGTACTACTTGGCATATAACACTGTGTAATTTTAAGATGTACAATGTGATGATTTTTACTTCCATCCATTCATTTCTCTATACTTCTCAAAAGGTTGCTTATACTTCTTTCTCTCTTCACCTACGCTCCCCAACCCCAAGGTATTGGAACATGGGATTGGGGGTCCTTTAGCTCTGTGTTTGAGTTCTGGTGCCTCTTTGAAGACTGTAATTTTTGACAAATTACTTGATTTATCTAAGTCCCATTTATATTCTCTGTTAAACATATGTCTTGGACGGTTCCTTGGAAAAATAAAATGATGAGTAATCCCCAGCATAGAATATGGCCCACAGGAGGGTTCTGAAATCACATTCAAATGTGGTGGGGTTTTTTCCTTAATCATTACCTTTTAATTTTGTTGTGACATTTTGTCAGTCTATACTTAAATGGGGCCAAACGGCAGTGCTTATTAAAAATAATTACATAGCTTATTCAGCAATATTTACATATTTAACTGTTACCAGTCAGCTTCTAACTTGGTGTTGTTTGGTCATTTTTAAAAGATACTCAAGGAAGGACTACAGAAATATATGTATCCTCCAGTCGCTACAGAAGACGTTGAAACAGAAAGTGCTTTCCCACCCATAGAGGTCATGCTGGAGGTTCATGAGAACGTGATCTTTTTTGAGGATCCTGTGGTTGCCAGGTGGGATGCTAAAGGTACAGTCATGCCTTAATCAGCTTTGATAATTATGTAATGCAAGGGGTATAATAATGCAAATCCTTAAATCAAAAGAGAAAGTGCAGTGTGTAAACTGAGTTTCTAATCTTACACATTTCAGGGTCTTTGTTTTATTTGCTCTCAATGGAAATAGATTGGAGTTTTAAAGTTTATTGAATTTTATAACTCATAGGGAAATACAACATGTAAAATTTGACTCTAACTGCAGTAATTAGCATACAAGTACAGTATTTTTTAAACCACAGGGAAAATTTTGCCTGGAATTACTAAAAATTTGGAGAATCTATTTATAGGCAATGCTTAATTTTTACCTTTACAAATTAAAATAATTTTGTTAGTGTAAAAAAAAGAGGAACTGTAACTTAGTTTGTCAACATAATTGTATTTGTTATATTAAATTTAAGTCAAAATAGTAGAGATCTGCATGTGAGATGAAGAGAAAGCAAAGTGTAAAAGAATGATTCATTCATTTGTTCCACAAATAGGCTAAACAATAGGAAATATAAAGATAAATGATATCTGTCCTCTGGGGATTTTCAAAGTGGTAGGAGAGTCAGACAGGGAAAAATAGCACAATGTGGTTAGGTGCTATCACAGAGAAAAGTGCTAAAGAGCAGAACAGTGACTGGGCCAATCGGGAGTAAGGAAGGCTTCTTATAAGATGAAATGCTGAAGAGGTCTTAAAAGAATAAGAGAACACTTGCATACAAGTATTTGTGTGTGCATATGTTTTCATTTCTCCTGGGTATATACCTAGGAGTGGAATTGCTTAGCTGAATGGTAAATTTATGCTTAACTTTTTAAGAAACTGCCAAATTGTTTTTCAAAGTAGCTGTACCATTTTACATGCCTGCCAGCAATATATGAAGTTTCCCATTTTTTTCCCACATCTTTACCAAAATTTGTTATTGTCTGTCTTTTTTATCATAGCTGTTCTAGTGAGTGTGAAGTGGTTATCTTGTGGTTTTAATTTGTGTTTCCCTAATAATTGATAATGCTGAGCATCATTTTTATGTATTTATTATCCTTTCATAGATCTTCTTTGGTGAAATGTTCCTTCTAATCTTTTGCCCACTTTTAAATTGGGTTCTGTTTTATTATTTAGTTGTAAGAGACACAAAAGACCACCTATTATGGACTGCATGTATATGAAAAGTCCAGAAAAAGAAAATCTTTAGAGGCAGAAAGTTTAGTAGTGGTTGCCTGGGGCTGGAGGTGGGAATGGGAATTAACTATAAACAGACATAAGGGAACTGGCTGGGAGGATGATGATGTTCTAAAACTGGATTGTGGTGATGGTTGCACAACTGGGTAAATTTACTAAAAATAATTTAGTATACTTAAGACAGGTGAATTTTAAATTTGTTCAAAAAATGATGATGAGAGGTTCTTTAAAAGATTAAGGAAGAGTACTGTAGAAAGAAACTGCATGTTTAGAGGTGTTTGAGGTTGTTGAAGGAAAAAAAGTGTGACTCTAAACAGATGTGAGAGTGGCAAGGGGTGAAGCCAGAGATACGAGTCAAAGCTTCATTCAGAGGCCTTGCATACCATGCTGAGGAGTTTGGACTTCATCCTATGGACAGAAAGAAACTCCAACAAAGCTGCCATTTTGTTGAGATTCTATTCTAATGTAAAAGATCAATTTATACATACTGCAGTTATTTGGGTGTTTTCATTCATCTTATTTTGAATAGGAAAAAAAAGAAACTAATGTCATTTTCTTCACTGATTATAAAGGTAAACATTGGAAAACAGATGGCATCAGCAATGTATTTTACAAATCAGAACAAAGGCTTATATCATTCAGCCTGGAAAGTTTGGGCCCTGTTACTTTGATGCAAGATACTCATATTCACATGCCATACCAGTCGTGGGAACTAAGACCACTTGATGTGGATCAAGTACTTTTGACCGTGACTACAGTATTTACTGAGATTCAAATACAAATTAAGGTAAATCACTGTTGTAGCGAGTCATATCCAAGAGGTAACACTCTTTGACGACAGTAAGAGAGTGTGTCAAAGCAGTCAATCACTGGTTATTAACACATTGAAATATGTCTTTTATAAATATATTTAACATATACCTTGAGCTATAATTTTTAAATTAGATATTAAGTGAATGGATAGAAAATAACACGTAAAAGGTGAGGCACAAATTTGTATCCTAAAATTACTAGGAATAGAATTAATGAAGCTACAAGCCTGGTTGTAGTATGACTTTCAGAGTTTCTGACCCACTCTCTAGAGGCTTCCTGGTCTTTATCACTCAGCCATTTGAAATCCCCTTCAAGGTTGGTCTTTGAATAAACCTCTATTGTTCATCAGTCAGAAATTACATAGCCTGAAATTTAGAGAGTCGAAAAGTAGATTAGTGGTTGCCTGAGTCTAAGGCTGGGAATGGAGATTAACTGTGAGTTGGCATGAGGGATGTTGGGAGGGGGGATGAAAATGTTCTATAACTGATCTATGGTGATAGTTGCACCACTCGGTAAAGTTACAAAAAATCAGCGGACTACGTACTTGAAATGGGTGAATTTTATGATGTGTAAAATATACCTGACTAAAATGTTCTAAGAAAGAGATAGCCTGGAATTCCGCATGAATGGGGCAGGAAGACTAACATAGCATCAAACTTTGCTTTTCAAAGCAGATATGATGTGTGAACTCTGAAAACCTTCAAATTGCCAGTTTAAACTTTGCAAACTTTAAAACTGGATAATTTTGCATTATTATGTTAAATCTTCTATGTGTGGAAGCAAGTATGATCCTTAAAAGTTGAAACATGATTGCTATCAAATAGCTACTATAATTCAACATGAACATATGCAATATTCCCAGATCATAACTTATAAAATGGGAGGAGACCTGAGAGATCCATTAGTCTAGTCCCTTGAGTGTTCACATAAAGCCCCCAAAGAGCTGATAAGCTGCTTAAGGTAACATGAGACTTTGTGGTGGAGCTTTCAGATTTGTCCTAAAATGCATCTCTCCTGCATTCTTTTTAATACATAATGACATAGGATTTTTAAAAAAATGGTATAAAGAACCTAATGGCTGGAACGAGAATCATAATAAAGTAATAATTTTTTTAACTTACTTATATAGAAGCTTCTTTGTTTTTTTCTTGTTGAAACTAGGAAGACCTCTGCATGTTAGCTTCAATCAGACTAAATAAAAAAAACTATTCCTCTGTTTTGGAAGGAAAATGGATGACTCCTATTTCTTTCATTATTGCTTTGAAAGAAACTGGATTGAATATCTTTCCTACTGAACACTCTCATTTTTATGTTGTTATCAACTATAAGGTAAGAATGAATCTTTCAAAATGTAATGAACATTTAGAATGCTAGCAAGTGTTAAATTTCGTATAAATCTTAAGATACATTGTGTGTTTCCTATATCTGCTTATACAAGATTATAGTTAGAAAGGAAGGGATAAATGGCAAGACCAGAAATTCAGGGTTCTCTCAAGTTTAATAATCTTCCCTGAGAAAGGGAACCTGTAGTATGATCTGCGTATCGACAACATGGAGCACATCCACAGCTCGTCGGTTTAATGCAGAGGTACTCTGAGCAACTTCGCATTTTGTATATTTTCTTTCTTCTTCCAGACTGGATATATATAAGATTTCTTGAGAGTAAATGACTCAGCAGTTTCCCAAACATGATAAGCCAGGTGAAATTAAGCACATACTAGGACCACTGATCTTCAAAACCCACTTCCTCCTGTTTCTTCCCGGCCTGCATACTGCTTTGTATATTCCCTAAGGCTTTAGTTCAGTGAGATCTTTCCATGTTAAACTGTGAGCTCCTGGAGGGGGAGGACTGTTTCTTAATTGGCTTTGGTTCTTTTTAACACCTGGCATATTCTTAGAATACAGTAGGTGTTTGATAAACATTTATGACATATGGATGAAGACAGAGTAGCTTCTAATCATGAAAGGTGTTTCAGGCAGAAGAGTGCTACACTCAAGCCCAAGTTTATATTATACCAGAAAATGGCAACATAGCCAGACATTCATATAACATATGTAAATAATCATATCGATAACTGTGTACATAGATGTGTAGAAAAAACACCTTGGTTTTAGCATATCAAATTGCCGGTTATTCTACAAATGCTGAATGTAGTGTACTTTTCATGTTTCAGAGTATTCTACTCAAGAATTTTTTCCAAATACCTATAGTCTAGGCATTGTTCTAGATGCTTAGGATACAGTAGTGCATAAAACAAAGGTCCCTGTCCTTGTGGCACTTACACTGTATGGAGGGAAACAAAAATTATCTCATGTCAAAAGGTGGATAAAGTACTATGGAGAAAATATAGATCAGGAATACTGGGGTTAGGGCAGCATACAACTATCAGTTAGGTATTGGGCAAGAGGCGGGCTAAATGAGACGGTGCGATCTGAGCAAAACATGAAGGTGGGGAATTTAGCCAAGTGGATATCTTGGGAAGCAGCTTCCAGGCTGAGTGGCCTGGTGTGTTTGAGGATTGGAGGAACAGCAAGGCCAGGTGCCTGGAGCTGAGAGAGCAAAGGGAGATGAAGATAAGATCAGATAGATAATGGGGTGCTGTGTTGGAATGTCAGATCACACAGGCCCTTGTAGATGTAGATCATTGTCAGGACTTGGGATCTATTCTGAGAGAAAGGGAAAGTCACTGCCCCATTTTAACAGAGGCGTTACATAACCTGATTTACATTTCATTTAATTAATTTATTTATTTATTTTTAATTGGGGAATTGGGGGAGGGGAACAGTGTTGGGGAATCAGGGAAGGGGAACTGACAAGTTGCTGTCCTCTTGTTCTTCAGTCTAGTTGTGGAGGACGTTGCTTCAACTGACCCATGTTGGTATTATCATTGCGCTCTTCCTGGGTGAGGCAGTTGCTCGCTGGCCATTGGACAGCTGCTCACAGTGGCTCACGGCAGCCCAGCTCCAGGTCGAGCTGTTGTTCACCATCTTAGCTGTAGAGGGCGCAGTGTCACTGGCCCTCATGTGGGATCCGAACCGGTGCCCTGCTGCTCAGAGCTGGTGTCCCAAGCCAACTCTTAACCAATGTGCCACTCGGCCGGCCCCTGACTTACATTTTAAATGGATCTTTCTGTGTGGAAATAGACTGCAGGAGGCCTTCTGGAAGGGAGACTTGTTGAGAGGCTCTCTGGTAAATTTTATTTGTTTTTATATTGACAGATTCCTTTGGTAGAAATGAAAGCTTATCGACAAATGGCCCTGCTAAGTTCTGCTTTTGCATTTGGTTGGAGCAGGTGGAATACAAAATGTGATTCTAAAAAAGTTATATTTAAGGTACAGTATGCAAAAACCTATAAAAGTACCTTGTGCTCCAAAAGGAAAGGTACTCAGAAGCTAAATGAATGTAGACCATAGTTTCTCCTCTTAAAAAGATGAAAAAAAGTTAACATTTAAAATGGAGTTTGAAAATCACTTATTTTTATTTTGTTAAAAATATAAAACTGAACTATGTAAAGGTTATGCCTTCATTGTTCATTATGGTTCCAAATGCTCTTGCTATCAGGCCTTATCTCTCTTTACACTGACTCAAGAACAAATGGAAGCCTTTAACTAGAATGTATCTATGATTCACAAACTCTCCTTGGAGAGGGTTAGGCCTCCAGTTTAACTTTCAGGCACATTCATTTACTGCTTGCCTGATAAAGACGGTCTCTTTTCAAATTCTAGAAGCCGAGTGATGAATGTTTTAGCATCAGTGAGCCACTATATTTATTTATCTTGTTTGTTGTGTGTTTCTCCCACTAGAATATAACCTCCCTGCAGACAGGGTTTTATTATTGTAGTCATTAGTTATTTATTAATGCTTGTTTTTTGTTTGGTTGTTATTGTTATTACATCCCCAGCACCTACAATAGTTTCTGGCACATGATAGCCACTCAATAAATATTTGTTGAATGAATTAACATTTTGATATGTTCTATAAACACCAGTTTAATGGTTTAAAAAAATGGGACATTAAGAATATTTCTTTTTAACATTAGCAATTTGGGGGGCTAAATTGAGCCCTTCAAATAATCCTCTACTGCCAAAATACCTCATAGAAGAGGAACTATTAACAGATTTTTCGAATTTTCTTTCGTTAGGTGAGGCAACACCTTCCTAAAGAAGAAAAACCTATTTGGAATCCTAACTGGGCCCTTTTAATGTTTAGTGGTGACAGAGCACAAAGGCTTAAGATTGACGAATACAGTGAGGCATTCTCTGAAGCCCTTAAAGAAGGAACTGAGTTTCATTCTACTTTATATCACATGGTTAAGGACTTTGCTTCTGAAGAAGCTATGGAGAAAATTAGGAGCTCCAACTGCCAGTTTATTGATTCTGTATGCCACATGCTACTCTCGATTAGATTACTCAGCTATTCTTAATCTTCACTGATAAGTTTTATTCAATGTGAAGAAATCAAGCCACTTGAAGAAAAATCAGGTATTTCTTCAATAAAATGTAACAAATGAATATATTTCAAATTTTATTTTTTAAAATGTGGGGATTTTACCTATGAATACTGGTCTACCAAGACTTTTAACTTTTACTGTATGAAGATTTAATGGTTCTTTATTTCACTAAATTTGAACAAACAATATTTAATCTCTCCTCCTCTGAAAGATCATAGGCAAGCTTCCTCCCCATAGTATTTTAACTGGGGAGCTAATCACAAAAAGAGGGAATTCAAAATATCTTACAGTCATTCTGAGAACCTCTGGTTCCAGGCTATAATTTCCCAGCTGAAAGTCACTAATTTACGCAGTTCAGGTACTGAAACTTGAAACATCAAGATACACACATTAGGATGTGCTGCGGTCACACTGGCGGTGGCCCATTGTGTCGGAGTCTGGTAAATGACCACAAGATGTGTTCCAGAGACATGCAGGGTTCTCCCTCCTGTATGGGAGCGGCATCCACAGACTTCTGGAAAAACCGGCCTGTGAGGAAGCTCATCAAAGCTGCAAACAGTACAATTAATGCAACAGAAAGCCAGAGCGCCTTATTAGTCTTTCTGATGGAAGTCTTCAGGTTTGTTGCCCAGGAAGCTACTGTGTCATAACTATAAGAAAAACACAAATTCAGAATTTTGTAATCACAGTAATCTGTTGTTACAAACACTCCTTCTGCCAACAATATCAATCAGATCATTGATCTGCCACATATACCACCAACGCCGCTTTGTCATAAACTATATTATGTGATCTATTGTTTTGGCCACAATCCTCCCCCACTTTATGATTTTTAGAATTAAAGGAATAATGTGTTATGGTGAGAATCTGAAAATTATGTGGGTTAGGCATTATTTAACTCCTAACAAGTACATACGAGTGTTTATCTCATTCTTTCAATCAGGTAAAACATGTTCCTGTGGGGGACACATAACATTATTTATTGGGTAGAGCAGGATATATGTGTATGTACAGATGTATGCATATACAAACATGTCACTTATTTCTCACCATACCCTAGACTTTTGCTGTACTGAAACTTAAACTCTATTTTTAGAAACACCCACAAAAAAGCTGATGACAATATCATTTAAGTCTCTGAAAATAGTTAACTCTGGACTAGACACTGTACTAAGCATTGTACACATGCTAATTCATTTAATCGTGACAACAAAATAATGACATAGGTACTATTATCATCGCTATGTTATAGATGAAGAACTTGGAGCTCCAAAATGGGTGAACGTGCCTAGGTCACACACTAGTTAAGAGAAATGGAAGTCAGACTGGGCCATCTGGTGTCAGGGCCAGGCTCTGCGCACTGTGAATTCTGCCTCTTGTGACTCTTAGGTTCAGGGACAACCCCTGTCGAACATACGAAGTTTGGTATTCATCTTAAACTTAACAGTCTGATAGGTCTTTTACTAATTTAATTTAGAGTGATACTGTTAACCCTACCTTACCTTTTCCCAATTCTGCCCAAATGGTATAATTTAACAAGTAGACAACTTACACTGAAGAGACATCCCATTTTGATAGACTATTTCTCTTTTCAGTAAGACTTGGCTTTCTTGTCTTTTCTACTATTTCTTCTCCAGGTGGTTCTGAGTCATCTTTAGTTCTGTAAATAAGTATTTTTTTTAATATTCAAAACTGAAGATAAACTATAATTATTGCTAAATTTTACTGTGTTAATAAAGATGCTCACAAATATTTGTTTTGCTTTAGAAACATTTGATAAATATCTAATTCTAAAAGTGAAATCATCAAATTTATACATTTAGCCATTTTGTTTTAAGTATTCTTCTATCACATAGGTTTTAGTAACCTATATTAGCGTTGATTTTACTCTTTTCTCTGTAGGTTTTTTGATCAGTGCAAAATTAGAGTAACATCAAAATGCTGTTTCTTTTCTTTCTCTAAAAACCTTAATTTTAAAGCTGTTTATGAAAATATTCTCAGTGCAAAGGTAGTTAAAATAAGCTAGTATTCAGTGAACTGGCAAATAATTGAATTGACTATATTCTAAATAAAATCATGTTATCTAAAGAGGGGCTCCCTTACCTGAACAAAACTTTTTTCATCATTATGTTCACTGATTAGTTCCTCATTGGATTCGAATTTTGGTATCTCAAGCTCAAAGCCCTCACAATTGCCACAGGGAATTGGGTCTTAAAGTTTTTGTTTGTTTGTTTGTTTTGTTTTGTTTTTCTTTGAAACACTTGGGAATGTATGTGGTAGATTTTAGTTTTGTTTTTAAAGGAAAGAAGGCATAAAAGCCAGAATCAATGGCATTCGTGTAAGATTCTCAAGGTTTCAGTCTTTTATTTACAAAGATTCTCAGTAAAAATCATATCATACTAACAAAAAGCAAATAACAGATTGTAATCTTTTGAAGGAAACTGTTGATTTTTTTTCTACTCTAGATCAGAAAAAATCCATTATGTTAACTCTAAGAGAGATTTCAACACATGCAATAATAGGCTGCCAGGATTTTTTAAACACACACACACACACACACACACACACACACACAAACTTTAAAGGTAGGCACTATGCCTTAATCATCTATATCCCTTAGGATTGAGCGTAGTGTCTATCACATAGTAGGCACTCAGCGAATATGTGTCACATGAACATAATGAAATGATTTTGAGATCTCTACATATAAGAAAGCTGAGACCAAGTAAGGTTAAGCACTTTGTTCAGTGTCTCCCAAGGATTTAGAGGCAGCATTTCTTCATGTCCCTCCTTGCCCTCTACCTTTTACTACAGAAGTATATTTGATTTGTTTAACTTACTAGACAAAAAGATATCAGTATAGAGTTTTATGTTTCCCCTACTCTTCATTTCTTTAAAGGGAAGATATATATACACACACACACACACACACACACACACATATATATATATATATATATATATATATATATATATATATATATATATATATATAATTCATGTATTTTAAAAAAACTAAGTTCATGGATATTTTACTTCTTTGGCTCGTTATTATCCGTTTTCCCTGATGGCCAGACACCTATATGGAAAAAAGTTATCTTCACAAATCTGGCAAATTCCAAGGTCTTTTCTAATTTAAGACTTCAAACTTGCAGCTCTGAGTGCTACAAGTATTCACAAATCACATTTATATAGTGCTTTATAGTTTATAAGTACTAAACAATGAATTGTCTGTTTGATGATGCAGCATTGATCTCATCTCCACAGAATATAAGTGATCCCCACTGTTTATGCCCCAGCTCACATCAGGTTAATAAACACACGAAGTTTCACCTACTTTAGTTCACATTTTTCTTCTTCGGCATCTGCCCAGGAATAGGTGCTGATAAATCGCTGTAATGAGGGACGGTGTTCACTCTGCTTTGACCCCAAAATACGCCTAAATAAAGATTATAACCACTTGTCAATTCAAACACATCCATAGTCATTATCAATTTATTTCCCACTACCTAAATCAATATAAAAATGATATATTCTCATTTTTTCCTATACCTTCATATAACATTTATTTCATGATAATTTCATGATCATATGCCAACTTGTATAATTATTCTGCTTATATTCTGTATAAATCAAATGTATCACCCATTTTAAACATTTACTTTAGTCCAGTTATAAATTGTAAAGTCCCCAAAAAGCAACCATAAAATTACACTTACCAACTGCTTGACCTCCTACTGAATCGGTCATTATTTTCCATCCCAGCCATCTTTACAGTTCAGGTGGAAAAGAAATGATAAAATGTGAATTTAGTGAAGTTTATACTTTTGTCACATGAAAATGAATTTGCTTTTGACTGAAAATAGTTAGAAATTTGCCTACCATTCCTGCATTTCCAATATTTCTGGGTAAAGATGCAATGGTCACTCTTCGAAGAGAAGATGGCTACTCGAAGGGGGGAAAATGTACATATAGAAAATTCTTAATATTTTATCTTTGCATGCAACACTGATGAATATCCTTGTACATAAACACCCATGCACTTGACTAATGCTGAGTTGAACAGTAGACATTTTTTAAGGATTTTGTTACAGCCAAATTGCCTTCTGGAAATATTCTACCAATTTATATTCCACTTTCCCCAACATTAGGTGACTATGATTTTGCCAACCAAATAAGGAGTATAAACTTTCTTGCTTAGGTTTGCATGTGTTTATTTGACTTCTAATAACACTGAACATTTTTTCTATGTTGAATAACCATATGAATATCTGCTCTGAGAACCACCTATTTATGATCTTTGCCCATGTTAATTTTGTTCATGAGTTTTCATAGACATTTTTTTCACTCTGTAATATATCATCTATATATCAAATTGTGTGTTCACCACCCAGAGTCAGTTCTCCTTCCATCACCATATATTTAATCCCTTTTACCTTCAACTTTGCTAA